CAACGATGTACTTGTTGTTTTGTTTTATTCTTTACTTCAATGTTAATTAATATAATGTATTATGATCTATCAAATGAAGCGAACGTATCAAGTGAAACACATAGTGGTGCTTTATCAATTGGTCCTTTTTACATAGCACCACAACAGGTATATATTGATTTTTATAGCGAAAAATATAGACTACACTCACACCTCTATGTCTCTAAAATTATCAATTTCTGATTAATGAAAATATCTTTTTATATTTAAGATTGGAATTGGTATAATGGTCGAATTATTTACATTAATTCCAAGTCTCTTAATTGTTCAATTCTTTCGACGTATTCGACCTCGTCAACAAATTGCACCAATACGTGAAGCATTACATAAGATGAAACCATCTCGAAAAACGTTCGTATATATATTTCTAAATACATTCATCGACACTCACATTCTTGATTATAGTAGTTCGACAAATGCCCCTGCAATCAAGAAAAAAAAATCTTCAATAACATTTCCTTGGTGGTGTTTATTTATTGCTTATGGTCTTTCACTGATAATTATTGCTCTTTCAATATTTTTTATCATTGTTCGAGGAATTGAATTTGGTGATGTCAAAACTCAACAATGGTTGACATCTGTTCTTACTGGTTTTTTCTCATCGGTTATTTTCACTCAACCTATTAAAGTATACTTTTCATTTTCTTTTAATCTATATTTTTGAAATATGTTCTCATTGAAGATTATATGTTTGGCTATATTCTTTATATGTTTTTGTCGAAATTCAAAAGATGACAAGGAAACAAGTGAATATATAAATGAAGATGATGAATTTAACATATCCAATGATGAGGAGTATCTTCATTCACTTGAGGTTTGTTATCATTTAGAATTCCATAGAAAAGTTAATTTTCCATTTATAGTATCGCTCATTATTTTCTTCTGAATCTCGAAAAAGTATTAATCGTCTTAATGAAAACGAAGTTGTTTATGCTCGTGATCAACGTCTAAAAGAAATTCAAATGTGGGCAATTATTTGGGAATATCTTATTTATTTCACATTTGCAATATTAGTTTTTGTCATAACTTATTCAAATCGTGAACAACATAGTTTTTATCAAGTCAATCATTTACGAGCTTATTTTCTCAATCAAAGACAAACAAATGCTGATTATACTAATGTTTGTTCTTCCTTTCATGTATCGAAAATAAATTTTGTTTTTTCTAGATCAATACAATCGATGAATATTGGTATTGGTTAGAAAATAGTTTTGTTTCAAAGATTCGTGCACAACAATGGTATAATGGAGATATTCCACAATATTTAAATGGATTTTTAAATGATAAATCTAATCGATTAATTGGTTGGGCAACAATGAGACAATTACGTGTTAAATCAGAATTATGTCCCGATCAACGTGTTATTTCAATATGTGAAGATAGTTATAGTTTCTTTAATGAAGAGACAGAATTATTTCCACCAGGATGGACAACAAATGCAACGACCGAAGAATTTAGTTCGTCAGTGATAAAAGCATTTAACTATTCTACGAGTGATGAATTGGATACATATTCGTATGTAGGTGAATTTGGAACATATAGTGGAGGTGGTTATGTCTATGAATTTCGTGGTAGTTTATCTGATATGAAAACAAATTTATCTGCACTTCATCAATTAGATTGGATTGATGAGAAAACAAGAGCTGTTTTTATTCAACTAACATTATATAATCCAAGTGTTCAATTACTAACTGCAGTTACTTTACTTGCTGAATTTTTACCAACAGGTGGTGTTTATACAACAGCTCGTTTCGAACCAATTAATTTCTACAGTAATTCACTCTTTAGTTTTTATTTCTAAAAACAAATGAATTTTTGTTTTTTGAATTTAGCATTTACATCAATATTACAATTAGTTTGTACAATTCTTTATATATTATTTATTATTTATTTTATGATCATTGAAATTCGATTATTATTTGAATTAAGACTAAAATATTTTTATCAATTTTGGTCAATAATTCAATTAGGTATCATTGGTTGTTCATTAGGAAGTATTGGCGTTTATTTTTGGCGTTTTCAAGAAACTAATCGTTTAAGTGAATTATTTGAACAAACAAATGGTTATATTTATATAAATTTACAACTTGCAGTTTATGTTAATGATATTTTAACATTTCTTCTTGGTTATTGTTGTTTTTTTAGCATGATTAAATGTCTTCACTTACTTCGTTTTAATCAACAAATATCTTTATTCGCTGAAACATTAAAATATTGTGCAAAAGCACTGATTTCATTTTCATTAATGTTTGCCATTGTATTTATATCATTTGTTAGTTTATTTTATTTATTATTTGTATCAAAACTTTCGTCCTGTTCAAGTTTATTAACAACTGCTCAAATGCTTTTCGAAATGACATTAATGAAATTTGATGCATCACAAATAATGGAAGCTGATGCTTTTCTTGGTCCATTCTGTTTTGCTTTATTTATGTTTCTAGTTGTTTTTGTTTGTTTAAGTATGTTTCTTTCAATAATTAATGATAGTTTTCGTCATGCGAAAG